CATTGAATTGTAGACACTTATATTGAGTGCGACAGCTAGCCTGAAAATTTAAAATTTCTCCATACTATTTGAAACACAATGCTATCAACTTACTAAATCATAGATATGCCTTACATCCAATAGCTCCCTATACATCTGAATTCTTTTTTTTTTTTACTATATCATTTTTTATTAAATTTTAAAGCTTACTCTTTTAGCTTCAAACTCCTCTTTATTATGAAAACTCATAATTATTAATCAATTATTCAAAGTCCTTTTCGTAACTAACACTTCGTAATTATTTGAGAAAGATACTATATTATTAGTACACACACTGATGTAGCAAAAATAAGATGTGAGCTCAGGTGTGTAATATCGTTCTCCGGAGATTGAGGGATATGACACGCAATATGCAATCACAATAAACTAGGCACTAGCATAAGGAAACCAACAAGAAGCTAAGCAAATCATAATGAAGTTAAGACTACGATAACTAAATAAAATAACACGAACACATATGAACAAGATGTAAACACGAAATAAAGAAATAGGACTCAAGCTAGGGAGCATTATCATATAGATGCTTTAACAACCTAAAAGATTAGGGAGAACAAGTAACCAAGGAATCAAGCGGGAATGCACGTAGGTATCCTAGTCTACGAACCATTATCGTGATTAATAAACAAGGATTAGAACAAGGAATTGCCCCACTTTCGTGGTGAATCAATTCCAAGTCCATCAAGCACACAAAACATCTAAAGCCCCCAATTTCCCCTATTTTTGTAGGAAGAAATCGGGTCTATGCAAGGGGTGGCTTGGATTCATCACCCAACTCTCATTGAGGCAAGGAATCCTACAAAAACAAGCTAATGAATGTGTACATCAAACATTAACAAAATATAAATACAAAACCTTCACAAACACATGAACCCTAGGTTGGAGTTCTTCCCTTTTTTGCAATAATCACAAATCAAGCATCAAGATAGATAATACAACCCTAACTCAAGTCCACAAACTAACTACTCATGATTCAATAGCATAAAGAACACAAAAACACAAGTGTAAAGCATAAACATTGTAAGATAAAGAGATAAAAGGAAGGAAAACTTCTCTAAAGAAATTAGATGGTAGAATCTTGAAATGTTGGAATCCAAGTGCTGAATCCTTGATTACAAGCTTGAAATATGTTAAGAAACCTAAATCTAAACCTAATCTAACACTACAATATGAAAGAAAGTGAAAGAGATAAGCTAGGGTTCAAGCATAGCTCAAAACCGAGCTAAAATGAGTGAAAAACGGGATTTATAAAGTTGCAGAGGGCTGGCCACGGGTGTGGCTTCACCCGTGGCCAGAAATGCAGTTTACACTGCCCAGTGGCCACGGGCGTGGCCAGACCCGTGGCCACAAGGCAGTGTGCACTGTCTGTACACTGAGTCTGTCTTCTAGATCATTTTTCACCCTCGAAACGTTTGAATTAGCATTTGGTGCTTGAATCAAAGTTGTATCCCTTCAAGTTAGCTTTCCAATGACATAAGAATCACTTCAATTGGACATTTGTATCTCGATATATGATCCAAATACTATGACGTCGACGTGCAGGTCGGGAATTACAATGCATTGATCTTTTGCTTCTCTTTTGCTTTGGTTTGCTCAAATGATCAAGACCATTCAAAGCACCACTCTTAGCCTTCCTTGGAAGTGTTTTGCCCATATCCATAGCTTCTCCTTGGTTCCCATGGACTTCTAATGCATCCAAAATGCTCCATTTGACTCCAACGTCCACCAAAATGCCTGAAAATACTCATCTTTGTTTCCAAACAAAACTCCTTGCAAAATAACACAATTTAATCATAATCTCATAAAATTTGGAATGATCTATAAGTAAAATGGCTTAGTGAAAGGGGGAAAATATAGACAAATAAGCACTTCTCACTCACACTCACACACACACACACACACACACATATAGATCATTCCAAATTTTATGAGATTATGATTTATAATCAATTGATAAATATAATTTTTCAATATATATATATATATATATATATATATATATATATATATATATATATGACTAGATTTATAATTAATTGATAAATATAATTTTTCATTAATAATTCTTCAACTATACCGATCTATAATTTTATATAACAAAATATAAGATTTTTCTAGAAGTATTATGATAGACTATTAAAGAAGAATTGTTATTAGTTAGTAAAAAAGACATAAAAGCTAAGGATAAATTGAAATATTATGATTTTGATTAATGAATTTGAAGGATAGATGGTGTTATTTTTAAAAATTAATTAAAAATAAAAAAAAAAGTTGAAATTGAATAACTTATTTCGAACACTACTTTGAGATAATAATGTTTCAAAATTAGCTATTATTTTAAACTCATATGTTTTACCAAACAAAACTTATACAAAAGTAACTTATTTATAAAATTATAGCTTATAAGGTCATCTCCAATGGATGCTGCAAAACAACAAATTGTCAAAAGAATCGCCAAATTCAGTCTCCAATGGAGACAACAAAACAACAATTTTTGCCGATTGTAAATAGTGTTGCGCCACAGGATAATTTGCGAGGGGTAGAGGTACGTGTTTGCGTGGGGGACTTGGCCGCCCACCCCCAATTTTTTTTTAAAAAAATATTATACATAATACCATTTTTTTTTTTTTTGTATTCGAAATATTGTGCACTCCTCCCACCCAAATTAATCTTGTAGGCTCACATATACAATTTTCATATTCTCAACTTCTCCAATTCTTTTTTGCAAATTTCTAATTCTATTTTCGCTATATAATTAACTCACATTCAAATACTCATACTTTAAGTTACTTGCTAGTTTTAGTGGCGGACCTAGTGTGGGGTAGCTGCCCCCACTCACCCCACTTCACCCCATATATAGCCCTTGTATGTATATATGTATATATAGATTATAGTACATGTTTTACATATAAATATAAGAAAACTAATAGAAGTAAACAATAGGTGAGTTGGTTGAGTTGGTAGAGTCATGTTTTAGGTTAGGAAATGTCACTGGTTTGAACCCCTTGTCTCTCTTCTGTTTGGCTTTCAACTAAGCTTCTTTATAACACACACACACACACACACACACACACACACACACACATATATATATATATATATATATATATATATATATATATATATATATAATAAGATGTGTTTTTTATTTGAATTATTTTATCAAATTAATTATGTTTCATATTTTGTTATGAATATTTTTATAAAATTTTAATTTAATATGTTTTTTTTTTTGTTTATATCCAACAATATTTATGACTATATTTCTTTGAGTGTTTCATTATTTTTCACACTATAATATTTTGCCTCCACTCAAAAAAAATTCTGGGTCTGCCATTGACTAGTTTCTCCCTCTAGATCCATAGGTATATATGTCATATACACAATAATAAAGGGATATTTTGACATGATTATCATTTATCGATTAAAATTTATGCATGCTTTGTTAAGTTAAGTTATGCTTTCGTTGTTTTTTCTTAATTATATTTCGTGTTTGGTTAATTTTTGTTATTTGCGTTTGAGAAAAAAGAAAAAAAAAAAAAGTTAGAAACAATTACTATTAAATTTTGTTGCAAGAAAGGTAATTTTCAAGAAATCGCCAATACCCTTTTAAACACATGGGAAGGCCTTTATTATTTCAACAATACATAGTGATATTTTATTTTTTTTGCCATTAATATAATCAAGGTTACACTTTGTAACATGATGGAATATGAATTTCTTATTGGTTGCTTGTTAATGTACACTGAAAAGTAAATTGCAAAATAATTTAGTATAAATTTAATTATAAACAATTTTTTTTAGACATTCTAACTTTTAATAAATTTGTAATTTAACGAATTTTCTGGAACATACTAAATTAATATTAATGTATTTAATTGCACACTTCAATTATGATTGACCACCCCGCACCATTTAATCTTGACTCTGCCTGGTGTGTATGATGTCTCCGTATACCAATTATTATTGTGCTAAATCTGAGCAACTTAGTTTGTTATTATTATATAACAAAGGCTAAATCCCCATGATTCAATCTTTCAACTTACTCTCTCCAGTCCCACCTATATTAAGTAATATGCCATTATCAACATAACCAATCAAATCATGAAGTAGATGCCATCTTTATGACTACCAAATTTATGTTTGGGCTTCATAAAACTACTTTTCGGCGGCATTCAACAAATTATGGTCCACACAGATGTGTAAACCACGGTCCAAAGCGATATCATTAGATTTTATGAGTTAAGAATAATGTATTTTATGTGTTAAAATAATGTATATTAAGCTTTAAAATAATGTATATATATTATGAAATATAAAAATTTATGTTGTAGCGGGTCGCGCGTGAAAAAAAAACGCAAAACAACGTCATTTTTATTGGATTGTGTGGATCACGGTTCACCCAATAACCATTCGCCATGGACCATTTTCCTAATGATTATTTTTTAAAACAAATAAATATTGGACCATTTTCTAAAGATTATTTTTATTGCATTTTTCTAACAATTATTTTAAAATATATAGTAATAATTTCCATTGCCGGGAATCAAACCCAGGTCCCCTGGGTGGCTGGGTGAAAGCCAAATATCCTAACCGCTGGACGACAACGGAAACGTGCTTCATTGCATCAGTTTATATTTATTACCCTAGGAAATCATGGTTTTTTACATTTTAAAAATAGAAAAGAAAAATATTGCGGTGAACGTGGATCGAACACGTGACCTTTAGATCTTCAGTTTGATGCTCTCCCAACTGAGCTATCCCCGCAACTTGCAAGTAACCTTCACTTTACCATACATATTAGCTTTGTACTCGTGACTAGTGGGTCAAATTTTACAAACCGATTTAATGCGTAGTCATTATTGGATTCATTGCATCTTCAAACTAGTGTAAAACACGTCTCTTCACTCTAAATCATTTGAAGAATATGCAAACCATTTACACTGAAGCGAATATGAACTCTATAAAATAAGATAACTAACGAATTTTTCATTAAGTTATTATAAAACAGAGACGATACACCGCAATATTAATAACCACTACATACATATTACCATCCACTTGTCATATCACAAAGTAGATTACAGAAATCAAACCACTTAACCTTTCACATCACAAACTAAGTACACAACCACTTATTTTTCAAAACAAATTAAACCTAAACCCGTCTCTGCTCTATTGCAATTGAGTTTCAAATCTCACTTGCAATTGCAAGGATCGCATGTGCAGTTGTCCCCACACTTGCACCCATTCTCAGTTGTGACCTCCCCCATCATAGATCCCTCAAACTCGCTGCAAAACACAAACAAATCAATAAAATCATAATCATTGGAAAAAAGAGCTAGAAAACTCCATAAAAGAGAAATGCAAAGAAAGAATCATACGTTTTCATGGGAGCAACACCAAGAACAAGGGTCTCAGTGGTAGCGGTGGTCTCAGAATAGCTCAAGTCTGGATACATCTTGCACCTATAAAATGATCAATACATTAATTTTGCATCTAAAAAATCCTTTCTTTTTAAATTTAACATGAAATCCATGAAAATTATGATAAAAACACAGATCGAGACAACCGCACGACATAGATAAAACCACCTGGTACGAAAATCCGAGATATCGGAGAAACGGAGATGAGAGTAGCTTACCCGCCACAACCGTTGCCGCATTGGCAAGCAGAGCCGCAGCCACAGTTTCCTCCACAGCAAGACATTTTTCACACAGAAAAAGAGAAAGACAAGAAAGACGAATGATTGATGCAAAAGAAATATCGATGTCGGGTCGAGGTTCGGAGCTCCAGCCTGACCGATACTTATAGCGTAACGGCTGGGGAGAGGGATCGCCCATCACCATCCACGTGGCGATAAACAAAAGCAGTGGACCCACTGTTATCGGCTGAGATTGTGTCCGGTTCCGGTTCCGGTTCCACGCGTCTGTCGTTTTGTGCGGTTCTGCAGTGTTATCGTGCTCGTTTCGAAGCCAGAAACCCATTCTTAATATGATGATTAATTTATTACAGTACAATTTAATTACCCTAAAAAATTTCTATAATCATCAAATGCCGTTAGGGAAAAGATTATTCCAGAAACTTATTAATAAGATAATATGCACTGTACCCAGATCAGACAAATTATATTAAACCATATCTGGTTGGACTATAATTTTTGCATTAAGGTCTCCGGTACTCTCTAGAACAAACTAGTTTCCAATGAGTTGTTATACCATGGACCAGGGTCAGCCTAGGTGGACCCGAAGTATACATTGTGTATTTTTTGAATTTTTAGTTTTGAAATTGTAAACTTTTAGAATATAAATTGTATTTTTAAGTCAAAATTTTAATATGTTAATATTATGTGACTGTAGTATTTGAAAAGAACTTGTAAATGCAAAACAAAATAATCAATTACATATATGTTAAAATTGTGTTTTCGTACTTCGTACTTCGTAGTATATATAAGTTGTACATTTTTAAAAGGTAGATTGTGAACATTCAAGTCGACCTTGCGAGTTTCCATATTTCAATATTTTTCTCTGAGTTTTAGCTTTTATTAGTATATAAGAAATAAGAAATAAGAAATAAGAGTATGTTATTTATATAATGAGATGAAATGTGTCGATTATTTTATTGATTCTAACAATATTTCTTCTTTTCTTTTTTTTTTTTTAATGTAAATTTTATGTTATAATAATAAAAATTATTGGTTCAAAATGAAAGAGATGAACATCATAGAGAATTAAGTGGAATTAAAAAGTATAGTCGTGACCAGGACTATGTGGTCCAATGGTATCCGGGTTGGACTTCTATTTGGAAGGTTGTGAGTTCGAGCCTCAATGGAGGCGTTATTAGCTCTTTGTGTTTCAGTAGGTTGAGAAAGTATATGAACAGATACTACAATGTAATAGAGCTAGTAGCATCCAAAAAAAAAAAAAAGTATAGTCGTGCTTTTCTTTTTTAGTCCAGTAGCACCATATTTTTTTTTCTTTTTTGAAAATTGTAGCACCATATTATTCTGCGGCAAATATTATAAAAATCAAGATGAAATATGAATAAAATAAAATGGTTGCCATTTGTTTTCACATGTACGTACTGAAGGGGCCTACATTTTGTATTGTTTATTTTTAAATCTAAATATCTCCTCAAGATATGAGGATTTATTAAAATTGTGATATATGAATAATAGATTAATAGATGTCTAATCTAAAGATTTAATTAAATATTTTATTCACTTGTTTGGTTTTTTGAAAAGCTCAACAACGAGATAATAATCAGCTCTAAAATAATATTCTTATCCTATTTCATTATGGCCTTCTAAAATTATATTTTATTTTATTGGTCATTTTTTTCTGGATATACATATTATTTATACTGTCGAATACAATGACTAATTCCTTGCTTAACTATATATAAGTACCTCTATTATGTGTGGTCAAATTGCCTAAAGTCAATGATTGAACCTTGACTATATAAGGTTACTTCATACCCAAAGCTAATGATCAAACCTTTGACATTTGGTTAAGGATGTTAATTTTACATTTACAAATAGTTTAAGGTTATATTTGACCCTTATCCTTACAAAGCATAATTAAATAATACTTTATTCTGTGTGATAAGGACAGTGTTTAAATGTTTAGATAATAAAAATAAAAGGCGTAATAATAAAGGAATACAAGAGGCGATAGCCGATAGCTCATTCGTGGCGGCAAATTAAAGACTGAGCACACTATGAAAATTTTATATCAGAAAATGACATTTAAAGGGGAAGCACATGCATAAAAGATTTGGTTTTAGCTATCAATAGACAATTGCCGCAAAAAAAAAAAAAAAAAAAAAAAAAAAAAGACAATAGCCGCATTACGCATTAAAAAAATGATACAAATAAATTTTTAATATTGGTCCTTAAATTATAAGATGGATATAAATTTAGTTAATATTTTTTTTTGAATTGTAAATTTGGTCACTAATTAGTCACAGTATTGACTATTTTCGTCCTTCTTACTTATATTATAAAGATTAAAGTGTATCTTTCATAAATGACTATTCCAGTATCCCGAATGACAAAGAAAAAAAAAATCCGCTATTATAACTAATGAAAAGTCAATTTTATAACTCTAAACAATTAATACTAAAATTTCACTAGTTTTGTACTTTTGTTACATGAAGAGTTGAAGACTAAAAGTGTTATATATATATATATATATATATATATATATATATATATATATCCAAAAATAATATTCCATAATATAGTATAATAATTAGAGCATGCTCCAGCGTTTATGAGGTGTTTGGTTAGATGTAGATGGAATTCTTTTCTTTACTTTATTCCATAGCAATGCAAATTACAATATTTAGTTTAAGAGAATTACAATTTCACGGAATTGCAATTCACTCCTTTTGTTGAATTGCAATTAATGGGTACACCCCATGAATGTGAATTCAATTGTTGTACGTGGACATTTCAATCTGTATATCACTTCTTTTCTTTTTGTTCACAATAAATTTTATTTAACATTACCCAACAATGTAATTTGAATTTGTACTTTATTCAGAGCTTATCATTTTCATCCAAATTACAATTTCTTTATTCCCTTTATTCCTTCCTCCCAACAAACATCCTGTGAAGTTTTTTTCACAATTTTTAAGGTGTCATGTAGGATATATGGTATAAAAAAAATTGAGAGAAAAAAAGGAAAAACATAAAGCAAACAAATTAAAATAAAAATCTTGTTGCTTTTTTTTTTTTCCCCTCTCATAGCAAGACCCACAAGCATATTTGTAGTAATAAATTTTTTTTTGTAGCTTATCTCTTCTTTCTCCCCCACCTAAGCTCAAAAACTTAAAAAGTTTTTCTAAAATGCATTTACTGGGATGTTTTTAGGAGTTGAATAGAAAGAAACAATCGAAAAGGAGATGAGATAAGGTGATAGAATTGAAGGTGTTGCACTTCTTTTTGTGAGTAGATTCATGATTTAACAAGTACACATGTGAAGGGGTCACAAGATAAGAGGAGAATTTAGTTGTTTTTGTATGATAAATAGTGAAATATATAATACATTCATACAATCTTATATCGACTCCACAAAACATTATAATTAAAGTAATATGTAAGTTAGTATTAAACCTTACTTTTAAAATAATTTTTACAATAGAATTAAAATTATAACTTGTATATAGTTGTATTATACCTTTAGCTAGCTAATTAAGTTAGCGTTCATTATATGTGATCCTCCACTGGTGGGTGACGACGACAATGAATTATTGGTTACAATTAATGTGGACTGTGATATTTTGCAGAAGTATTTTTCATTGAATGTGATGCACGAAGCTCAATGAATAGTGGGGATAGGCAAAATTATGGAGTTGAAGTGATGGATCATTCATGGTGGGATAGGGAGGGACATATATAAGGGTCACCACTCTTACAAAGGTGCAGGATCATATCTTGAAAATAATTTATACTGAAAATTTACTTTTAAAATCGAAAGAACATGTAAATTTGTCACATTCGATCATATTTGTCTTGATGTTTTAAAGTAATACATACAAGTTTAAGATGGAAAGTAAAATAAATCGAAAAAAAATAGAGATAGAACTATAGAAGTGAGAAAAGTGAAACCAAAATTTGAAAAATATATTGATGAAATATTGTCCCCAAATAAGTGATTTAGTAACTGAACTATTATTCTTACTCCAAATACTGCAACTGAACTATTATTCTTAAATATATTGCTAACGACTTTTTAGTTTAGTTGAATGCACATGATTTTTTTAGTATAATTTATCTGTTCTATATAATTTATGAATATTACACAGAAACAAAGTATACCCAACAAAGATTCATGCAAATATATATATATATATATATATATATATATATATATATATATATATATGCCATTGCAATAATACATGTCCTTAGATTCCAACCAAATGGGTAACAAACAATACAAATGTGACAAAAAGGTGAGGGACAAAGATGCAATTATGTGCTCTTCAATCTCAACTTTTTCTTCCTTTTCTTTTCAACAGAATCATCTAAGTAGTCTACTCGTCAACTCAGTGATAATCAGGTGATAGATTGTGGACAAGCATTATCTAAATAAGCAAATGAGTACTTTTTGTTAAATTCCTTTTACAATAATATTTTATGAAGAGATGTGTTCACCGTGCGGGGATAGCTCAGTTGGGAGAGCGTCAGACTGAAGATCTGAAGGTCACGTGTTCGATCCATGTTCATCGCATTTCCTTCTTATTTTATCTATGAGAAAAAATGCAATAACGATTATATATATTCTCAATCGACAGCAAGTGCACAATTTCTGTTGTTGTCCAGCGGTTAGGATATTTGGCTTTCATCCAGGCAACGTGGGTTCGATTTTTGGCAATGGAAATTTTCTCGTTTTGTTTTCCAATTTTTGGGCCAAACATTTTTGCCGTTCACACCCTCGGAATTTACGAAACGCAAATTCGGCAAATTATGCTGTGCATTGCATGGTACATACGGATGAAAAAACGACGTCGTTTTAATAAAACGCGCGTTTCCCCTTTAAAAAAAAATCAGGTTCGAATCTCAGCAACAACATATGAACTAAAATTCCATAATCGATGAACTATAATTCCATAATCTAATCTATGAACTAAAAATTCCAGAATGAATGAACTAAAATTCCATAATCTATAAACTAAAATTTCAGAATCAATGAACTATAATTCCATAATCAATGAACTATAATTCCATAATCTATGAACTAAAATTTCAGAATGAATGAACAATATAATGTTATTGCTGGGAATCGAACCTG